TATTAGAATAGCCATAGTAATACTGTAGAATCTTGCAAGTGTAAATGTGCTTCCCTCTTCTCACACTTTATCTTCATGTGAATTAGGAAATGGTCTATCTGATGAGTTTCTTATGTTTATTTCGTGGAATGGGCTCAAGTCATGCTTGTCTGATCATTGCCTTGGTAACATATTTTCCCCGCTGTCTTTCAGTCATTCTTTATGCCTTCTTCAGGAGGGGTGCCTAAATGTTTCTGTGTAATTATATGCCATGCATTTTAAAAATAGTAACAAATTTACTATAATTGATTAGACAGATAAAAGTTAATGTAAGGACACTTGCCTTTTTCACAAATAGCCCTCTGGAACTGATGGGAACAGAATTGTCCCAAATTGGGGAGATACCCCTTGTTTGAGTGTGATAGAACTTTACAATGGCCCTTGGAGAGATTATGGGTAATTGAGTCATCCATTCTGAGTATCTCCATGCTTCCTACATTGAAGATACATTTTGTGGATTAAAAGAGTGAACAAATACTGCTTGAATAAACTTCCTTCTGTTCATAGTAGTTGGACATTTTTTTGTCTTAAGAAAAAAATCTTCATATCCTTGAAGCAATAACTTTTTACTGTGCTACTGGAATATTAACTTTATTTTCAAGTGTCCTATATCTGTTATACTTTACCACCCTGTTCCTTGGTGTTTATCTTACTCAGTTGCAAGACATTGTATTCAAAAAGTTAGCAAATCATGATTCCAAAGAACACATTTAGGTGCAAATATCTTAGATGCTAATGAAAAGATGATGTTCTATGCCTTCATATTAAACTAAACCTAATATTTCTTAGTTGAATACTCCAATTAAACTGTTTTGGAAATGTAAAAAAATAGATTTATACAATACTTTAAAATGTCTGCTCTTTCCCACAGAATATAACGTAAGAATACTACATAAATACAAAATGTTCAGATTCTTTTTTTTTCCAGAAAATCGGTGTCTCTGTAAGAAAATATGTACCATAATGTTATATAGTTTTTGTTCATTGTTTTAGTTCCATGAGTGTTTTACTATATTTACACAGTGAGGTTTTCTTCTTGTTAAGAAGCTTAGTGTCTTGGTTAATTTTAGCTATGTGCAGCTAAGTTATACAGTACTACAAATCTCAGTCATCCTATAATTCTCTTTTGAAGTAAACTAACCCTAATTTATTTTCTGTGTTTAATATTTTTATTTAATTTATCAAATTTAGTTTTCTCTTTATCTAATATTACCTAACCAAGATTTTATCAGAATATATTGATAAGGTTTAATTTATAGATTTTACTTTCTCAAACAAATAATATTTATTGATTATGTAGAACAGACATGTGCAGCCCACAGCCCACAAACTGCATGTAGCCCCACAAGATTGTAAACTTTTAGCATTATTGTGTGATTTATATACATTCACGCAATGCAAGTTCAGGCAAGTCAAAAGGATACCCATAATGTAGAATAATACTACTGTGGACGAGAGAGAGGAATTATTTTTAATCTGAATTTAATTCATTAAATTACACTTACATCATATTAACCAAATACTGCAGTTGTCTAGGAAAACTGTAGAAAGATGCTAATGATTCTGTTGCAAACTAGTATTTCCTGAGAAAATACATATGTAGTCCTTGTTAATTAAAAATGGCAACATTCCATTATATGACATAAATTGCATTTGTGAGATTTATAATAGTTTCTATTTTGCATTTGGTTTGTATGATGATTATCTTGAATTTTGTATGTGATATTTCCTTAAGTATGGCTAGGTATTCAATTATGTCAACATTAAAATATAATATGAAATTACGATTTAGTATTACAAGAGCAAGCTCCAGCAGGTTCTTGTGTGCCTGCTTCCTTTCTATTTTACATGTACTGCATGTAAATTCTAAAGTATAATGATGGAAATAAATTAATAAATTTATTTCACAACTAGCTGTACCCAGCCACGCGTTGCTGTGGCTCAGTCTGGTTAAATGGAAAAGAAAGAAAAGAGAAAGCGCACGTTTGTAATATGTTTACGTCCAACAGATGGCGTTGTTTTTTTTTTAAAAAGCATGTTTTTACCTGTCACAGGTGTGACATCTATATAATAGTAGGTATATAAAAACACGCGCGTATTCGAATGCAACGTTGTGTCAAAATTTCAAAGCAATCGGTGAAGAACTTTCGGAGATTTAAGATTTTGAACAAACGAACATTTACATTTTTATTTATATAGATTTATAGTCAGAAATTTTCTGTTTTCACAAACCATGGCTATCAGTAGTACCAATTTGTCGGTAATTCTAGAGGCTGCAGGAATTGAAAATGGAGAATCCTCAACATCTGATCAAAGAATTATGCAAATTCAAGATTTAGTTTTTGCAACATAATGTAATTTTAATCAGTAATTTAATATATCAGCCCACTGAAAATTTGTCTATTGAAAAACAGTTCTTTTCTCTGTGTGATTTTTCATAAGTAAGGTAGGATATTTTTTAAGCTAAGGTTTCTGTTTCTCAGATTACAGCTGAAAATATAGATTTCCCTTATGGCAGGGATGTCAAACTCAGTTTCACTGAGGGCCGCATCAGCATTGCGGTTGCCCTCGGGGGGCCGGCTGGGTGTGGCCTACTGGGTGGGCGTGGATGGAGTGGGTGTGGCCAGCTCTACATCGTTCGCGTCAAGGGTGCCTGTGGTGGCCTGGGCAGCAGTGGGACAGATCTGAGGGTCTCTGGCAGAAGGGGGTGGGACCAGGGCAAGTGCCAAGGCATGGTCCACTGGAAGAGTCTCACTGTTCCTCTCAGTCCATGAGGGGGGGCCTGGATGGTGGCACGGGCTGCCCGGAGCCTTGGGCAGCAGAGGTCAAATGCCCAGCCTGGCCCTTGAGCACCCGCAGCACCAAGCCCAGCCCCACTTCCCCAAGGGAGGGCCCAGCTGCACTTACCTCCTCCTCAAGGCTGCTGCTGCTATGCTTGCTCTCCTTACCCAGGTTGCTCATGATGGGTATGAGGGCAAAGTCAGAGGGAGGCCATTCCCTCTCCATGGGAGGAGACACCCAGCTTTCTATCCAATGCTTCCTTAGCAATAGGATGGGAGACCCCCGGGATAGGCCAGGAGGAGGGGGCAAGGGGATGGTGAAAGGGCAGCAGGGCAGGACTAAGGCAGGACTTCCCTCAGACCCTCCCTCTCCTTCTTTCCTTCCTTCCTAAGTATAGAGTGGTAGGAAAATATTTGAGATGAGGGAGAGAGAAAAACAGGCAAGAAACGCAGCTGGGGAGGTGTCACCCTTCGTGAGGAATGAAGAAATGCACCATCGCCTGGAAGTGGCCAGCACATGGCCCTCATCTACTTCACATATCTGGCATGGTGGGCTCTGGGGGAGGGGATGCCATGAGCAGCGTGAGAGTCAACATTACCTGCGCCATGCTGGCCAGCCCACAGCCTGCCCGGTTTCAGCAGCAGTGGGGTGTTTTCCTCACAGCACCGAGAGGTTGAGCCGGGCGGTGCGAAGCTCGCCAGCTTTGCACCTTGCTGCCTGCTGAAACTGGGCAGGCTGGGGGCTAGGCAGCATTGCACTTCTCATCAGATTTGCGCCACCCGGCTCAGCTCTCTGCGCTGTGAGGAGAGCGCTCCACTGCCTGCCAAAACCCCTCCCCTGGAGCCCATCAAGCCGGATATGTGAAGTAGACAAGGGCCATTTGCTGGCCACTTCCAGGCGATGGTGCATTTCTTCATTTCTCAGAAAGGGTGACACCTCCCCAGCATGCACCCAGGCGTTGCGGCCAATGCGGCAGGGGCTGGTTCCTCGCTGTTTCCAGACGGCCTTCTGGAGCTAAGACTGAATGCGTTTCAGCATAGATGGCCACCACAAAATTGTACGTTGGCTCCCGGCCGGCCTGAGCCAGGGCCATGACAGTGGGGGCCGTTCCTTCACTGTTTCCAGGATGGCTTCGCGGGCCACATGAAACCGCATCCGGCCCCCGGGCCTTGTGTTTGACATGTCTGCCTTATGGGATAGTAAATGGTTAAGAAAAGAGTTCCTTGCCCTGACTCCGTTAAGTACAGATATTATGAGAATTACTGATAAAACACTTCTGCTATCTATCTGAAAATTATTTCAGATTTTGGCAGTCCATTTAAACCCATCATTCTGCAAGCTGAAATGCATATAAAATTAATTCCTAAATAGTTATACAGTATTCTTGCCTTTCTAATACAGTGTTGTCCTGTTTTTGTGATCAAAGTTCTGTGAAGGATGTGTGCCTCTCATCTTTATCTTCAGGTAAAGGGAGTTTATTCCTAATCCAGCTTCTGTATTTAGAAGCATGGAGGTTGTCAGTTTTTTTTCTGTGCTATCTCATTTTTGCTCACATAGCACCAGTTGGCTGAATGATCACAGTTTAGAACTTATTTTTTTAGACTTCCCTCTTTTTTTTTTTAAGACTGAGCTTGATAATTTGAGAAAATTACTTATTGGGAAAGGTGGATGTGGTTTTATTCTAGGTAATCACACATGAATAACTTGCTTGGCAAATATGAACTGTTCTGGTTAATGGCATAAGATTTTATGTTTGGATTCCCATTCCTCTGTGTGTCTTTAAATTCATTGTTTAAAAGTTGTAGAAACTACCTTGTTCACATTTCTATAGCATGATCTGTCTTTCGTACTCATATTATCAGTGCATGGTGATAAAAGACAACACTCCATTTAGAAGATAGTGCCATTTAAATATCAGGGCTAGGTGAATCATAAAAACTATCATTGTATTCTGCTTATAAGCATCCTAGATGCATTTGATTGACGCATTTTAAAAATGATGTAAGGAAAAAGATTCCCTAAGAAATATATTTTGTACACACTCTCTGTTTCTCTATTATCTATTACATATCTGCTAAACTGTGAACCTAGCTTATCTAAATGTTTAAACCTAGAACACATTATTTTACTCAAAACAGATTGTTCATTTTCAATCTTGTTTCATTTCCTGGCTCTCATAGGAATCCTTCAACTACTTTCTACCAAGTGTTTCATTCGAACAAGTTACAGGAATCAAAGAACCTCTGGGATAGGTATGAATATTTAAGTATGGAAAGCATACATGCTTAAGTATGCATGAAGAGCTTTGCATTGTGCAGGTTTCTCGTCATCAAGTAATATCTTCATTTTAGTATCTTCTTTTCCTTGTTTATTTGCCAAGTAGGGAAATAAAGTATCCCAAAATTTCTCAGTTATATAACTGTTCTCTTCTGGGCCGTGTGAAATCTTGCTCCATATCATATATCACAAGCTTTTTCTGGGAGAAGAGTATTTTTAAATTAGATGTTCACTGATATTAGAATGAGAACTTCTATCAGTTGTAGCTACCAACAGTTCAAACTTAATTTTTGAAAACTATCAGTAATAATTGCCTGACTAATGGGGTTTTTTTTTTAAAAAAAAAATCAAAATCTTTTAAATTTCAGAGTTAAGAACAGTAAATATGGGATCTATATTGATTGGACAAAATAACAATTATACATGAATCTACAAATTGAGTCATGGATAAATAAAAGCATTAAAAGATCATTCAATTACAACCAGGCAATTGGCGAGAAACTGCAACTAATTCAACTTTGAGGATATCACTTGTCAAAGTTGTGTTACTAATTCAACAGCTGCAATTTGCTTTCTCACAATATTAGTAATTCCAATATTAAAAGATTGGAATCTTGGCTTTTCAGGCTTATGGTGTTCTTGTCTGTTTTATATTTTCTACTGCTAATTGAACATTAAGCATCATTGTTTGCATTTGTGGTATTGAAGCAAAGAAAACTGAATGGCTTTTCTTAAAGCTTGCTCAATTCATGTGCTTGCTGATTTCAACATTTTAAAGAACACATTTTAGGTTAAAAAATACAGAATTTAAATCACAATAATCTGAATAACTGATAGAGTTATAACAAAAGAGCTTACAAAGCTATTGTTTTCAATATTGAGATTGAAATCCTGAAGTACTCTTAAATAGCTTATTTCCACATTTGGGGGTTTCAACGTGCCATACGATTAAGGAGAAAAAGATAATTCTGTGGTTTTGGGTGTTGGGTCTCAAATCTACTAGCTGCATGAAGACAATGAGCAATATAGGGGTCAAAGAGGAATCCAGTAATATTCATCTCTCTGATTCAGTTTTGCAAGCAAAATGAAATTTCCTAATATTGCTACCTATCAGTTTCACTCATTGCAAATTTGAACCAAAGTGGACATGACTGATAGAAGCTTGATTCAATTTCTGGTATTCTACCACAAATAGAAAAAAAGGCATTGCTAGTGTATTAAAAAAAACAAAACAAAAAAACAAAATATAGTACAATAGGAGATTGGAAAAAGAACATGTAACCAAAGAAGGATAAAGGAGGATCCTAAAAATATGAAGATGGTATAAGAAAGATTAAAACTTGGGAGGTGCTGAAGTCAGAAATGTCCAAAGAGTGAAAAAGAGCCTTCTTGAGTATGTCAGAAACAAAAAGTAAAGCAAACAGGATGTAGAATTGTTATGGGGAAGAAGGAATGGAATAATAGTAGATGAGAATGCAGAATATCATAATTATTTTCAATGCTTTTTTTCTGAAAGGAAATAAAGCCCTGCTTGACCACTTTTGTGCCACTAATGCAAGGAAGAAGCTGCAACACAAGCTAGGCGAGATGAGGGTAAAAGAACACTTACCCACTTTAAATGAACTCAAATATCAAAGACTAGATGAGTTACATATTGAGGTTATTACATTAACTCTGAATAATTGTTGTGAACTCCTGAAGATCTAGCAAGAACTCAGAAGACTGGAGGAAAGCAAATGTCTCTGTAAGGAAAGAATAAACTGAGTTCAGAGGAGGGCTACCAAGATGGTAAGGCAATTTAAACTAAGTTCTAAGAGGAACTATTAAAGGCACTGGATATATATAGCCTGCAAAAAAGGACAGTGTGGTCAAACTATGGAATAAACCGTCTGTTAGAGATCTGTCTAAAATAATTTAGCAAATTTTACACTGAGTAGGGAGTTGGTCTAAGTATCTCTTCCAATTCTGTGCTAATGTTGGAATAGATGGAACTGGTTGAAGACAGATTCATACTTATGCTCAGTAGCAGGTTGTTCTTTCAAAACTTGTGAAGATCTTGTCTTGCTCCACTGAGGCAACATTAGTATCTCAAAAACTCCTTGAGAGCTATCAAGAACTCAGGATTTCATGAGGAAATTCATAGTCTTTTTAATAAATGCTTTTCATGGCAGATTTTTTTTCCTCTTTCACATGGGAGGTGGACATCATATATTGCTGTGTACAGTATATGATATTTTTATTGCTTTGCATATCATATGCTAAGATAGGAATCAGATTTCTTTAATCTGAAATTGATAAATATAGAAAACATGAATGTGACAGTTAAAGAGGAAAAATTGATCATAGACTGTAACAGTGGCGGCGAACCTATGGCACACATGCCAGAGGCGGCACTCAGAGCCCTCTCTGTGGGCACATGCACCGTTGCCCTAGCCCTGCCTCTCAGGGCCCCCTCACCAGCAGCCCCCCCCGGAGGAGAGTCACCCCCAGGCACGGCCCACGCAAAGCAGCGCAGCCAAGGACATGGTAACCGGGCAGTGGGGACGTAACACGCAGATGATGCTGGAGGGCACGGGCGGAGGGCGTGCCTGTGGCGGGCCGTGGAGGTGGTGGGTGGCCCAGCGGGCAGGGCAGAGCAGGGACGGAGGGGGGGCGGTTTTTGGGCACTCTGTCTCTAAAAGCTTCGCTATCACTGGACTATAATCTTATTAAATGCTCATTTTTTCAGACATTTCTGTTCATACTATTTTGTAATTTATGGCTTGAGTGCAAATGTTGCATTTTGTGAACTGATAGGCTCCTTCAGTCCATAAAGGCGCTGGTGGAATGAAGAAAGAACAACTTTTCCTTTCCCATCATTGGTACACCTCTGTGTCCCTTCAACTTTATTTTGGAAGTTTAGGAATCTCCTGATCATGTGGAGTTTTAGGAGAAGAGTTTCAACCAAACAAGACTTTCTGAGGGAATGCAGCTGAATTACACTGAACGACACTGGAAGCAAACTCTGAATCTTAATTCATTGACCTTTGAATCTAACTACATTGTAGTGTAGTGGATGTATCCATAACTCAGAATTCTGTGATGTTTTTATTTATCATTTTTTTATCAAATGTATGCACCAACTATCACATTTAAGGGACACATTCTAGTGGGAGAGAACTTCCCTGAGGATGAGCTCCAGCACAAGTCCAAAATCTTGGAAGACTAAACTTCTGGTCCTGGGGACCAACCCAGATTGGATCCATACAGCCATAAAAAGAGATACAGATTAAAACAAAGTTAAAAACAGGAGTAAAAATAATTTTAAAAGGTTAAAAATGTGGAGGGGGTGTCCTCATGCCACCAACTATCCCAAGGGTTATATGTCACTCTTTTTTTATTTGTTTTCATTTATCAACATATCACTCTTGATCCTCATGCCAGTTGCCAAAGCCAGGCCTTGACATTCTTCTTCCAGAAAACCAGCAGAATGGGAGCCCACCTCACTTCTAGTGCCAAAATGTTTTATCTAAGTAGCATTGATTCACAACTGTCTGTCCAGATGCTTCATATTAAAGCAATCCTCAGGAATATAAAAATTGCTTTTAATTTAATATAAGCGTTTTTTTTCTTTGAAATTCTGATTAGAAGTCAATACTTATATATACAGTTTAGTAGTATTCATGGACAAGAGGGAGATGTGAATAGGGTCAGATTAGGCTATATTGTAGTGCAGAGGTTCTCAAAATTTTTGATGCCATGACTCCCTAGCATAATAAGTGAATTTGTGGACTCATCTGAAAATAATGATTTTATTCGGATTACATATCTACAATGTGAATATGCTGTTACTTGCCATATTGGAGATGATCAGCTGGTAAAATCAGTTGCTGATCACATTGTGACTCTAACTGCATGTGATTTTGACAGATAACTATACTCCTGGGTTAGGCCATCTCTAAATATTTGTTCTTGGGCAGCTAGGCATTTGAAGAAACCTTTCTATCTTATATATTTTACATTATTGTTTTAAGACTTAAACACCATGGCCAGGTTGAAGCTTCCTTTGGGAAGACACCATGTTTTTTCTTACAACTTGAACACTTGTTGCTAGGTGCAGTAACCTCAGGAGCCTTTCACTACTTTAATTATTCAGAGTAAGAGATTGTGGAGTAGCTTTTAAAAGGACACACCAGGGAGCAATCAAACTGCTGCTTGGCCTAGTATATTCTGACTTTGCGATAGATGCAAGAAAATGGGAAGTAAATTCTGTCCATTAGTACTGACAATTCTATTTAGTCATAGCTCTTTGCTTTGCGATTAGCCATATTGTATGTTGAAAATGCTGCCTCTAGAATTCTGAACCAGTGGTCATTTCCAATCGGTACAACTCAGCATTTCATTCAGTTTGTATTCGGAAATGAACTGATCAGATTTGTACTTACTGAACCACTTTACATTCTGAACTTCTCCAAATTAGCATGTAGTATTTAACAGATGTTCTAGAACAGGCATGTCAAACTCGTGACATTATGTGATGTCGCACGACATATCGTGACTTTTTCCCCATTGCCGGCAATGGGGTGGGCACAGTTTTGGTGTGACGCATCCAGCCCACGGGCCGGCAGTTTGACATGCCTGTTCTAGAATGTTTGTGTGCACCAGCATGTTCTGTTTCAGATGTATTCACTTAGTAATACAAATGTTTTATTGGCAGTAGCAATTCTAAAAATAAGACTGTAAAATGTCCCTTTCAAAGAAAGTTTCTCATCAGTTAATATCTTACATCATTTTACCATGTTAAACCTTTACTATTTACCACTAATATATTCATTCGGACTAATTATTTTTTGTTTTAAACTTTTTTGTTCATCTACTTTCCCATTTCACTGAATAGTTGGATGATTATTAGATAGTACCCAAGGATGTATGAATCAGTAATAAATGAATTTAATAATTGATTTAAAAGGTTTGATGTTCAGTTTAATAAAACATTTAACTATAAAATTACTATAAATTTCTTTACCTACTTAACTTTGGCAAAAATGGTCTGACAATGGTAGATATGGTTTGCAAAGTATCAGCCCAATATAGTCAAGCATTTCACCATAGCTATCTATAAAAAGACTTTCTCTGATTATTTTTTTTAGGGTAAAAACAGTGGGAATGAAAAAGGGAAAATAATGTAGCCTTCAGATGCCACCAATTTAGAAATATTATATCTTTCTTCTTGGAAGTAAAGAAATTTGTATGGTACTTCACTCTCCAATTTTATATTCAAAAAAACCAATCCTGTGACATAGACTGTCCTGAAAAATATTAACTATTCCAAAGTCATGGTGTCCAAAACTGTGATCCAATACCTATAGAGAAGTTGTTCTGTATAAGTGCAGGAAGTATCATAGTGCAGTATAAAAATAAAAGTTAAAAACTAGAATAAAAATGAAAGGTCTTTCTAAAGTGTCTTATCACTCTTACTTGCAGTTTTTCTGGCTTGGCTAGGTTATTAATTCTAGTAAGGAGCTGTTTGGGCAACCATTAAAATAAATTAAAAAGTGTTATGTTACCATATATTGCGTGTACGCAAACACATGCCTAATATTAAAATGTTGTATTGTGATGCTCCAACAAGTGCATTATCTCTGGCTCACTTAATCCAACCAAAAGAGTGTGACAAGTGGCAGAAATGTAACTGTTATTACTGCTGCTGCTGCTGTGGTTAATGGGAGTGAGAAGAATGAAATGGAAAATAGAAAGTACCAGACACTGAGACCAGTGGGGGATCATACTGTAGCGCAGACATGTCAAACACAAGGCCCGGGGGCCGGATGCTGCCCGCGAAGTGGTTTCATGTGGCCCGCGAAGCCATCCTGGAAACAGTGAGGGAACGGCCCCTGCTGCCTTGGCCCTGGCCCAGGCCAGCCGGGAGCCAATGTACAATTTTGTGGTGGCCATCTTGGCACTTGCCCCGGTGGACCATGCCTTGGCACTTGCCCCTGGTCCCACCCCCTTCTGCCAGAGACCCTCAGATCTGTCCCACTCCTACCCAGGCCCCAATAGGCACCCTTGATGCGAATTATGTAGAACTGGCCACACCCACCCGGCCCCCTCAGGGCAACCGCAATGCTGATGCGGCCTTCAGTGAAATTGAGTTTGACACCCCTGCTGTAGCGCAAGCAAATAATTTGAGTATTAAGGGCAAAGAAGGATAAAAATGTATGGGTGGGGGTCACAAAAAAAATAGGATTTTCAATAGAAATATTTTTCTTTCTGTATCTCCCAGCAAATTTTTCTAAAATTCTATCAGAATGAGACACAGACAGAACAGTACTTCTTCAAAGATTGTCATAGGGACAGATTATGAATGAGAGAAAAACTCAACAGCAAACTACTTATATTAGTGCTAAAAAGCCAGTCAAACCTCTGCTTTATCTATATATGAAAGGAAAGCTGCAATGGAGAGCTCAGACTAAATCTAAAATCTTCAAAGTTACAAACTGCCCTTGAATCTTAAATATCTGATTCAGTACATCAAAAATGCTATCCAAATAATTTAAAATCGTACATTAAATTGCCTTTAAATCTTTGCACAGATCTATCATATATCCATCCATCCATCCCTATGTAGAAGTAATGTGTTCAGTTGTCTACCTAATAATGCTATTGGATGTAGTGTTTTGCCATTTGATTCTTAAGTATTCCAATATTGAACTTAGATGGTTATTTCAAAGAATCATGGAACAGTCCAGAAACATGATTGTTTCTATAGGTGTTTGAAAAACATCTTACGTATGTATATAGAGAGAAGATAGGTAAATTTGTGAAATAAAAAGATGAAAAAAAGATCTGCTTCTCCAGCTTCAGATTATTATTATTATTATTATTATTATTATTATTTATTGAATTTATGTATCACGTCATTAAGCAATGGTTGAAAAGTGAAACAAAGAAACAAAAAGTTGATATAAATTGGGGAAAATGGGGGGGGTTAAATGTCCTAATGAAGTTTAGTAGTCGTACTACATGTTTAGAAAGCCAGAGCTAGGAATAAATGAGTCAATTCATTAAGTTGTAATAGTTCTTACATGTAATATAGAGAGATCGTTTCAAGAGAAAAGGCACACTTTGACTTGTTTTTGTCACACTCTTTACAAATGTGTGGGTTATTCCACTGCTGTTCCGGTTAGTCTTGAATTTGAGTTACTCTTTTCCTATATGATAGAAATATATTGTAAAATATATCCTCTTGTGTGACCGCATATACCAGTGATGGCGAACCTTTTAGAGACTGAGTGCCCAAACTGCAACCCAAAACCCACTTATGCATCGTCAGGTGCCGGGTGGGTGTGGCCCATTGGGTGGGCATGGCCCATTGGGTGGGCGTGGCTGCAGTGGTAACAGCAGACTGGGTGGGACTAAAAAGTTCAATCAATCAATTCCAACTTTGCAAGATCTTTTTTTTCCCCGCGAGAAGTTGAAATTGACTGATTGATTGAACCTTATTTTTTGTACACAGCGGTGGAGGCCTAAAGCGAAAAGGTTTTATAAAACCCAGCTAAAGGCCTAGGACTGGGGCGACGGCGCACGTGCCATAGGTTCGCCACCACTGGTATAGTATATTTCTATTCTATCTCACCAAGGAGTTTTGAGGTGGCTCCCAATTACAGTATAAATAGAGAAAATGTAAATATTTATATGATAGAAAGGGAGAAACAATGGAAAATGGAGTGCATGTTAATTGACATGTTATACCTTTTCATGTTGAACATTTATATTAAGAATTTGTGTAGATTCACCTGGAGCAACTGTACTGATTCATAGAGAGAACAAATATATTATTCAAGTATTAAACGTACTGTGCTGAAAGTTCTTAATGATGCCTTAGTCATTTCAGTCTTATATCGTTTATCTTTATGTGCTCTATGTTTCTTATGGATCTGAGAAATTTGGAAGTGATTTCACAGATTTTTAGCAAGAGTAAATACAAAGCACAATTGCATATTTCTGCTTTAAAGTGATACGTTGTTTGGCAGTCAGGTGTTTCTTTGATATTCCTTAAACTTTTGAAAAAATTGAATTAAGTTTTAGTATGTGCCAGCTCACAACTCAGCAATAGCTCCCAGACACCTGATTAATCACAATTTGACAATGCTCTTACTTTTGAAATTGGCTAAAGATTCTCAAGGCACATGGTACTTCACATAAGACTGATTATTGTTTATTACACTGAAGCTAAGTTGAAGTTAAATGTTGGCAAATATTAAAAGCCACTTTTGATATTACTGTGAGGAACATCAAGAAAAAAGTCAAATCCTTTGAGGTTAATTTAATTTATTTATAGAAAGATGTGTTTTAATTATTACAATGGTTATTGTTCTTTTTTTAATAATGCCAATAGTTTGTCATAGGAGACATTGTAGTATACATATATATAAAAGAATGAAATATTAATACTTGAAGTTATACCAGTGCTGATTATTTTTGTAATTAACTATTAAAGTATGAAGATCATGAAATGTTGGTAGATTTTGCATTATATATTGTTTATTTAAAAATCACATAATTATTAAAAATAAAATCAATATGGAAGGAAGCTTTTTTAATATCCAGTTGAGAGCACTGAATTTGCCTTATTTTCATGCTGGATTATAAAACCATGAATAATTACATGTAAACCAAGTTCCTTGGCTAATAATAGATTAAGAAATGAAAAATAACTAACTTTGTAGTAGAGAATGCAGAATACTTTTCTGAAAAATATGCCAAATACCGTGGTTTTTTTCTATAGCATATTTATTAAATGTTCTAAAAATCTAAACCATATGGAGATGACATTTTGATCAGCATGGCACAGGATGACGCAAACATAATTAGTGCTAACTAGAACTGAACCTGGGTTCTATATACTGTAAAATGTCTGATAGCAATGATGATCTGGAACTACCTCCAAACATATATCTTGAACAGAAGGCTAAAGTGTTGGATCATGCTAATCAAGCCAACTATCTTTTGTAGGTATTCTACAATGAGTTGGAACTCTCCTAACAATCAGTTTTGTGTCATTTTATTGTAAAAGAATTGGTTTATTTTTTTCCACTAAAGTGCTTTTACATATTTTCATACTGATCTAGCAGACTTGCATCAAAATGTCACTTTCAAACACACAGTGGTTGACTTGGTTATGATTATGAACTATTTCAGTTGCATATTAATGTGCTCAAATATGGGAGCTCATAACAGCCAATAGGATGTGGGCAATATTTTTTTTCTTAAACTCTCAGGAGGTCTGTGCTCAGTTTCCACAAGGGCCAGAAACTGGCATAAATATCTTGGGCCCAAACTAGCATGAACTAGTTATGTCTAAGTTCTATTGAAAACTTTAGTATTCTCAGTTCCCATCGATTTTGATGAGATTTAAATATGTCTCACTTTCTCTGGGATATAATGCCTATGATTTGAAGATACCACACTTCCTTGTTCCTGAGCATATGGAATTAACACTCGCCAATCTTAGAGGTTTGTAATGATCACTAAAATATAGGAGAACATTGAATGCAAAGTGCTGTAAAAGTGCTGACTTGTGAAACTATAATGGAACACTTTGCCTTTCCATCACTTTTGCTGAATAGCATTTCAGTGATCTCAAATCTCATATGTGACTTTTCTTTGCTTTTCTTTTGAACAGTGCATCTGGTGGGAGTGTTGTGGCCATTGATAACAAAATAGAACAGGCAATGGTAAGTAAGGAATTTATTTATTTATTAAATTTATGGGCCGGTCACTCACTCTGAACAACTTTATTTTGCTTACAGTGTTGATCATAGTCTCTGACTGTAAGAGTATTATTTGGAGATTTTAATATAAATAGCTATTTTGTCCCAAATTCTTAATAGGTAGAGAATAATAATTACAAAAGAATAGCATAGTGCAGCACAGATTATGGTTTGCACTAGTTTTATGGTTACCTGCATTTAGCAATTTTGTGATAAGCAAAATAGCACCAATGCTGAAATAATTTGGAGCTTTTGTAAAAAATTTAGCAATAAAACTATCCATTCTAATACTTGCTGCTGTGTAATTAATATTCACATTCTGAATATTTTAACTGGACAAATACAGTTTGAATTCTGTGGCAGAATTATTTGTTATTTCATCTAAAATATTATTGTACTATTGAAATTCTGTTTAAAATTCCCTAATTTGTTAGCCATATTTTTAATAAGGATATTATTTATATTTAAATATAATTACTTTTGAAAATAGAAGGCATTTAACTATTTGGTTTGTGAACTTACAAATTATATTCATTAGTGTTCAAGTTGTTATAGACATTGTTTCTTTATTTATTTATGTACCTACCCATCTCACATATGTGACTGTATACGACATACAGCAAAATGGATAAAAACAAATAAATATATATAATATAAAATAAAAACACATGACAGCTGAGCTTTATAAAATAACCATCCACAAAGCCAAGAGATGGGCTCTATCACACTTCCGGGCCTGGCACAAAACCAAGTTTTTAGGGCTTTACAAAAGACAAGCAATGTTACAACTAACTTAATCTCAAGTGGTTGAGATTACACCACAACAGAAAATGACCTCTTCCTGGACCATTCCAGCTCTCACTGATTAGCCCAGGGGTAGGCAACCTTGGCTCTTTTATGACTCATGGACCAACTCCCAAAATTCTTGAGCCAGCTATGCTGGCTCAGGAATTCTGGGAGTTGAAGTCCAAGAATCATAAAAGAGCCAAGGTTGCCTACCCCTGGATTAGCCGATGACACCTAGAGCATTCTCCTCCTGCCAGACTCGGTGGGATAAGTAGAAACAATTGGGAAGAAATAATCCTATAAATAGCCCAGTCCCTTTGCTCAGTGTTGGTCAACACCTTGAATTGCACCTGGAAACACAATGGAAACCATTGCAGCTCACAAGCCAGTAGTGTCACATGTGCTGAAAAACCAATGCCATTAATTGTCTGGGCCGCTGCATTCTGCACCAGCTAAAACTTCCAAATGTTCTTCAAGGGCAGCCCCATGTAGAGAGCATGGCAACAGTTACATCTCCAGAGACTAAATTCTTTAATTTGTTAGTCAGCTCTTTGGTACTAATATTTACATAAAATATAAAAAAAATAAATGATTAAAATAATTGCTTTTGAAAAGACTAAATTCTCTATGTGTTACCTAGTTCAAGAGTAAGAATATTTGTATATAAATATGATTACTAAAATAATTACTTTTCGTTTATAAAAATTTAAGATAAGTTTTTTTAGTTTTAAACATATAGATCGACAGGGTTACATTTCCAAAAACTACATTTTCTTGCTTCTCTGACAGCCAGGTTGTACAGAAAATAAATAAATAAATACAAAAAAAGATGTCCAGTATATTTTTCTCTATTTGTACTACAAAGTAGTAGAAATCAAAGTAACCTTTCATACTGAAAAATAGTACACTTTGGGTAGATTAGAATATTATTATATATTGTTATTAATAAACAGTTTCTATACTTATGATTGCTGATTAATATTTATAAAAATATAAGAAGGACAGACAAACAAATGATGAGCAAAATTTTCAGACTTGTCTTCCAAGAGGAACTCACTTAGGGAATCAGTGTATTAGATTTGGTACAGTTAGATTCTTGAATCAAATTGAAATTTCAAAATACAGAACTATGAGATTAAAATATTTTAACATGTTACTGATAGCCACATTGAAAGAATTCCATAGGAAGGCTCCTATGAAATAAAGGCCTAATTGAAATCATGGCACATTTTTTTAGAAGGATATCCATATACTTTAAACTTTATTATTATTGTAATTATTTGTATGTTGTTAAATTTTAAAAGTTATATTGTAACAGTTGCTAAGTGACCCATCGTAAGTTGTGGACTACCTGTAAAAAGCCAGCAACTTACGCTACGTATATAACATTAATTTATTATTTTCATTTCTTCAAAAGTAAACCTGAGGAGTTTAATTCAGATCAAAAAGCAGTGCATTGAGAAAAATAAGCACATTCTTGAATTTCCCCTACTCATAATAGTAGCTAAGAATCAGTGAAGAGTTCCCATTCATATCTATGGAGATGTTAACTATTAGCAAAACGCATAGGCTATGTTTTCAGAGATATCATAACGTCTCACCATGGATTCTATCCCAATTGAGCCATGATTCCTTTTGAGTAAAATAAAAATAAACATATTTGGTTTAATATGTAGCTTGATTTTAAGAATAGTTATTTTCCCCCCAAAACAAGATATTTTACTTTATATATTTAACAGTATTAAATATATACTGTTATATATAATGGTATGTGTGTACGTAAGATTTCTTGATATTTTTATTTTTCTTATTTAAGCTCATAATGGAGTTTTATTCAACTATTTGGAGTTAAATAATAGCTTGATATGGAATTCTCTAATTATTGGTTTGCCTTTTACAGGATCTGGTGAAAAGCCATTTGATGTATGCAGTCAGAGAAGAAGTGGAAGTACTGAAGGAACAAATAAAAGAATTGGTTGAAAGAAACTCTTTACTTGAACGGGAAAATGCACTGTTAAAATCTCTTTCAAACAATGATCAGTTATCACAACTCTCAACCCAACAGGCCAATCCAAGTAGCACTTCTCAACAGCAAACAGTGATAGCACAGCCTCCACAGCCAACGCAACCTCCACAGCAGCCGAATGTCTCCTCAGCATAAAGCTTTCTTGCCTCATTAAGAACTGAAAGCAATCTGTCCTTGTGTGCCACTGGTCTTCTTTCCACTTTATATGAAAGCAGGTAGCCATGCTTCAGTTGTGTGTTTTGGCCTTTTCAGTATTAGACAATCATTCTGCAAGCGCTTTCCCTCACTGAGATGTCATACAACACAGTTGGTGTCCAATTATGCCATCAGTGCACAAGGGAAAATGTAGAAGGAGTTATAATGCAAAAATCTGCATTTGTTTGATGCACATGAGTGGAGGTCTTTAAGAGCTTTAGTAAGGCTCTTCAAGGTTTCCGTTACTCATGGATTACTTTGAGCCTTGGATTTTCACACAGTAACAACCCCATCTTTAGAGCCACTGTTCTTTCAATGACAAGAAACATTTGCCTACATTAGTTTCATTTATTTGTTTTATTTATTACAGGGCTGCTATTCATAATGTACATGAACAATGTCACAGAACTTTTAATTTTTTAAAAAATAAATGTAAGTATCAGTAAAACTTGATAGACAGGATTGAGTTTAATAGAAAAATGTTTAGGCAATAATTGAACAAAAGAATCCTGGCCTATTTCTAACACTAATGGCAATTTACCTTTTGGTATTTATTTTCAGTAGTTAAGATCCAGCTTGAATGTAAATTTTTGTATAGTGTAAGTATGAAGACCATAGTGCATCTGTACAGGTAGTCGCCAGTCATTGTGATATAATAATTGATGGGCTATTTTGATGAAGAAAACTTTGCTCATTTCTGTTTCTACTTTCTAATAGAGAAATTGCCATGATTCCTCTGCTTTTTGACATTTCGTATGATTTTTTTGGGGGGTGGGGGGGAATAAAAAGCTGTGAAATTGTTCAACCTACTTTGTAACCAAAGAAGCAAAGCTGTGTAATTGAGTTTTTATTTTATAATGCACATTCTTTATGTATTTTTATTTAGTGTTCTCATTCACATTTTCTTTGCTGTCTAGCATGATCTGCATGACCTATAATCTTTGAACCACTTTCGTACCTCATGTTTTATCCAGCACTCTTATTGTGATATGTAATAGTCTGTGAACAATGTCAAATTAAAAAAAGAAAGAACAGCTAGTGTGGTGGAGCTGAGCTGGTGTGTTATGCACTAGTTTAAAAAAATGAAGTGAGCCATCTTTTGTTCATTTAAAATGGTGTTTTGAATTTCGTATGCAGAAAACGTTTTGTTACATTGCAGATTTTAATGTATTTAATAAATGCAACATGCAGATTAAGTGCAGTGTATACTGAGTATTTAAATTAAAATGTACATTTCATAAATACAGTTTCAAGAGACCATTTGTATATACTAACGTAGTATGTCAGAAGTTGATGTACAATATATTTTAACACTTTCTGAAATTAAACTGCAGTTTTGTTGAAAGGTCTGGCTGTAAATATATTCAGAAGATCCCTAGGTTAGTGTTCTAGAGAAACATTCAAGCTGATATCCATATGTGCTACTACTCTGACACTGGTTATAATCTAGATATATTAGCTTTTAAGGAATAGGTTGCACACAAATTATTAAACTTTGAATAAACCTCATTCTAATAGAAATCTGCAATGGAAAGGCTTTTAACATTTTTTATTTTATTTATTAAATTTCTACACTGCCCATCTCACTTAAGTGATGCACCAGAGCCCAGGAGACACTTGCTTTTTTCTCAGTAGGTGTATGAAACCTAAATACGTGGGCCATGTTTGTGATTACTAACAGAATGCAATCTGCTACTAAGTTGTACATTATATTTGTGAAGCACCAAAATTGCCCTGGTTTATTTGGGGGCTCTTGAGGAATACAGGAAGTTCTTGACTTACTAACATTCATTTAGCGATTGTTGGACATTATAACAGCACTGAAAAAAGTGACTTACAACTGATCCACACACAAGCATCTCAGCATCCCCATTGTCAAAATTCAGGTGCTTGGCAAGCAGCATATATTTGCGATGGTTACAGCATCCTAGAGCAGGGCTTTTCAACCAGTGGTACCGGTACCACCTATGGTACATTGGCACCTGGCAGGTGGTACGTGACCATCCTAGAAAAGTGGTAGCGGGGAGGGGAATGAGCTGAACCGGTGGCAGCACTGCACAAGCCTGAGTGAGAGATGGCTGGAGATGCAGGGCTGTCAGGGCTCAGTGGAAGCGCCAGGATCAGTGCCGCTTTCCAGCTGATCAGTGCTTCTTTGGGGCTGTCGGGACTCAGTGGAAGCGCCAGGATCAGCGCCAGGCTCCACCTGGAGCTCGGTGCTGATCCTGGTGCTTCTGCTGAGCCCTAAATCAGCTGGAAAGCAGCACTGATCCTGGCACTTCTGAGCCCAGAAGAAGCGCCGATCAGCTGGAATGTTGCAGCATCTCCAGGGTCTTGTGATTTACATTCAGATGCCTGGCAACTGATTCATATTTATGACAGTCACAGTGTCCTAGGGTCATGTGAAGTGACCAAAACCTGCTGCAACCACCCAGCAGACGGGGGGGGGAATAAAAACCAAACACCCCCCACCCCACCCCCACTGCCAATCCTCAACAGAAATGCTCACAACAATGAAAACCTTGGACAGGAGGAAGAGCGCCGCCGGGCACTGTCTTGCTCAGCTGTAGCTTGGGGGGCACTTTTTTCAGTGCCATTGTAACTTTGAACAGTCACTAAGCGAACTGTTGTAAGTCAAGGACTACCTGTACTTTATCACTTTTTTCCTTTTTTTTGTCATCAAGTTTTTGACACCTTGCTAGGCGACTGGTGATACTTGGATGTTGCCATATCCTAAAAGTGGTACAGTGGGTGAAAAGGTTGAAAAGCCCTGATCTATAATATGCTCTAATTGTATGCTACCAATTTCATCACTATTTATGTGGCTGTGGATACCTTATCTGTATATAAAATTGAGGAAGGAAATAACTATAACAGAAAAGTTTCTATTAGTCAAGGGCATTGTTGAAATTATTCAGGTCAAGAAACATGCTGAAAATAAACAAACATGACAGCATGAAGTAGTAGGTACCAAGATTTAAATTATCCAATTCTTTATTTTTACATTTGATACAGATTTGGCAATGACACAAGTAACTTCCATTTTTTCCTTTCAGGCAAAACAGAAGAAGGAGATTTCTTTCAAAGAGACCTATCTACTCCCAATAAAATACATAACACTGCAACTTTGGTAAAATTCTAACTGAAGATGTATAACCAAATGCCTCATAAAGATATAGAATAAGTGCTTGAATTGTTTCTTCTTGCTTGGCATTTATGGGGCGCTTTAAATGGTGGAAACCTTTCTCTTTTTTTTAACTACATCACTGCTTTATTTCCTCAGGGTCTGTAAAAGCATTTCTTATAGTAACTTACAAAATAAGATGCTTCGATCCACCAAGAGTTCAAACTGAGTTCAAATTTTGGAATATTCACATTTCGGAACCAACTGCTTATGGTAGCCAACTTAATCCCTCCAGATGTTATACACTTGGGTCCCATTTGTTTTAATGCCAGCTGCTACCATATCATCCAATAGCAAAGAGAAAATGGTACTTTCGTTAACCAGAATTAAAAGGCAGCTGGCAAGTCTATCTCTATAGAAACCAGGAGTTATGAATATGAAGTTATAATTTATGTAAATATCAGCTTAGCGGTCTTATTCTAAATGTCTCAGTTATCTGAGACCCAAATAGTAGTACAAAGAAACAAGACATTGACTTCCTTCTGCTTGCTCCATGTCTATCAACTTTTTGGAATGTAGATGTAAAAAAAGAATAGATATGGACTACATTCCATAAATCTATCTGTTGAATATTTCAGAGCTCTGTTCCAAAGTGTCTGTGAGTATACTGATATAAAGGTGAGGCGCTCTGGAAAAGAAGAAATCTGAGACTCAATGTGATTTAGTGATTAGGGTATTAGACTAAATGAGAGACATCCAGTTTCAAATTCATATTCAGTCATGAAAAACTCTGATTATCAGTCAAATTAGCCAATTTCACAAATTTTTAGAGGAGTAAAATTAAGGAATATACAGTATTTTAAACCCTAGGAGAACAGCAGGAGAAGGAAGGGAGGGAGGGAAGGAGATTTTTTTTTAAAAAAAAATATCAATAAGATTCTCTTCTACCATATTTTTGCTTGGAGCGCTATATACTTATCAGAGTTATACAATTTTTGAACCTGAAGAACACTAAATTTTACAATTTGTATTGCAGGGCCATAACAAAAAATAAGATTTATTTAATCATTAAATATAGTTAAAATGTTTATTCCCTGAACCACATTAAAATAAGAATTCAACAGGAGTTTTATGGAAGAGTTATGAGAGTTTCAGCAAAAGTTTGAGCAACCACAGATTGTGTGCTTCTGATTTGTATTCACCTATGTAAATAGGTGAGCTCAACTATGGCATTTCCTAAGTATGAGTGATATGTCAGCTGAAAATTCTTGAGTAACAACTAATTTTATGGTGTTGTGCTTCAGTAGGCAATGCCAAACTTTTCATTCTCTACTTTGGCGATAAGTCATTCCCCCACTCTTCTGTGGATTGCTTTACTTATAATTTGTGATAACAGTTCATCTACATGAAACCTGCTTTTCAAAGTATGTCTAGCCAAGATAGCTTTAAACCATGATTTAAAACTGGCTAGTAAATCCTAACGTGCTTGGTTAAGTTTATCTCATTGGATTAAATATCATAGAAGGAAAGAGAGAATTCATTTCCAAGACCAGACAAAGGAACCTGTGGCACATCTCATCTTTAATATCCAGATTATTATAGCTGTGCTAGACCTTTTTATTCCCTTTTTTAAAACTTTGACTTCTTTCTGTCACTGAAAACTTCAGTGTGTTCCCCAAAAGATTAATGTTTAACCAAAAATCTAATGAAGAATAATTCCAAGTTTCTAAGGAATTCCCAGAGCATCATAGAGCTTTTCTGAGACTTCTTTGCTTTTCTTGATCCCTTTTTAAATGCAAAGCTTCTCCCAAACAATCTTCTCCTTTGCACCAATCTAATGTCACTCTAACCCTTCCTGAAGACCAAGTGGGAAGGTTTTCTGAGTTCTCGCACTGAGTCCAATAAAGATGGGAACGGGAGAATAAAGGACCTCAAGAATTAAAATTAGCTCACCATTTCCATCTCAACCCAGAAACATTTTAAAATCTTTCTCTGCTTGAATCTAATTAATGAAAGGGGGCGGGCTGGGGGGGGGATGCCTTTGTTTGTTTATATATGCCGTTGCCAGCCTTTTGTGCTATATGAGCCAGTTCCCTATCACTGCAAAGCCCCTTCTTTGTTTTCGGTGTGACAGCACCAGCTTAGTCAATCAACTGCTGCAGGCAGTGTTTGCATCACATGATAGCTGGTAACAAAGAAAACAAAACCTTTTGAACATGGGTTGGGGGTGTGTGTGAGAGGTTTTTCAGCACTCCAAATGCATACAGAGGAGCCAGGCCAGCTGTCCTTGCAGCTAAATCTGCTCACCAGGTTCTCTTTGAAGTATGATTCAGGATGAGATAGGTGCCTGCACATGCAAAAAAAAAAAAAAAATATTGCTAAAGCAACCTCAAGTAACTGGACACACAGAGTTTAGTAAAACATTGTCTACCAAGTAAGGCACACCAAGAAGAGTGAAGGTGGGAGCTGTTTTGCTTCATTTCTCCTCTTAACTAGAAAACCTCTGAAAAGGAGGTGGGGCAAAGGAATGACCCTCCGCTGCAGAAGAAGGGCAAACTGAATCATTTAAGGCTACATCTGAAGATTCTTTGAAAGAAGAGCATTCTCACCAGAGTAGCTTTGAGTAATGATGGAGAAGAAAATAGCAAATTGTTATTTTTCATCATTAGAATTTAATTGTTTTGCCTCTTCCCCTGTTTATTTGTTTCATCACCCTCCTCTCTATCTGGCTAAGGAATTCAAAAGATTAAAATCACTTCCCAGCAGTGTTGTTCCTGGCTTTAATATGGCATGAAGCCATCATGTCTTTAACCACAGTTTGTTGAATAAGCATCAACGGAATGCTTTGTACAATGGCCCCAGCCAGATCCAAACTAAATGGGCCTTAGTCGATGTATGAATGCAGCTTAGCATAGGTACATTTGGGCAGGCAAACACATGTGTTTCATGGGAAAGAGGAATTGAGACTTAAACTTCTTCAGTTCCATATCCAATGTTTATAAATCCACCCTGTCCCTCAAATCAAAGAATGAAATAGAAAGCACAAGAGTTTATTAAAAGTATGAAAGCATGTTTGATTTAACAAAAATAGCCGAAGTGGCAGTGGGAACTAGACTTAAATAGCACCTATTCAATGCCCTGCTTCCCACAGTATCTAGTGAGGTGCCAATAGGAAAATTGCAAGCACTGTTTATTTTCTGTTCCTGCAAGCT